ACCCTAAAGGTCCTACATACATATGGGTTATAGGGTTTATTAGCGTACTTACTAAGTCCCTCTGACCCTCCAAGTAGGGGTTTAGGGTTTAGGGTCTAGGGTTTACTATGAGGTGGACCCCCACACAGTAATACTGACTAGAAGGGGTCATCGTGATTATGCTAGGGTTCTCTTATATTCCTATTATAGAGTATAGGGGTCTAGGGCTTGGGGTTTAGAGTTTAAGGAGTATAGAGGGATGTATGGGGCTATGTAGGTACTCATGGGGATTGTACTGGGGTTGTGTCTACAATTCCCCTTCCCAAATTAACCTGACCCTAAACCCTACACCCTAAACCCATGGAAGTCCCAGCAAGGCCGGTTGAAAAGGGCAGTAGTCAGGGCCTGCTTTAGGCTCCAAGCCGGGTCAATTTAGGGTTTAGGGGTTTAGGGTTAGGGTCTAGGGGTCTAGGGGTTTAGGGGTTTAGGGTGTAGGGTTAGGCTTGGCCCCAACAGTTTAAGGAGGTCTCAGGTGGGTAGTTTCTGGGTAGTTTCCCCATGTTAGCCTTACATAGTCCTGAGCCTTACAGAAGCCTTATGTAAGGCTACCCACCTGGTAACTACCCACTGTTAACTTTCAGACCTTCTGTCTAACTTAGGTCAATCACCCCTATAGTAATGGCTCCTTAATATGGAGTTAATAGGGCCTTAATATAACCACAATAGTACCTTGTGGTACCCATTACTGGGTGGAGGATTGACCCAATGTCTAACATCATTTCTTGTGTTCGCCATGCTCCGAGGACCGGTCTCCGGCGTGACTTGGCGCACAAACAAAGTACTTAGGTCAATCCTCCCTATAGTAGCAGCTCCTTAATATGAGGTTAATATACCTATAATAGTCCCTTGTGGTACCCATTACTGGGTGAGGGGTTGACCCCAACTACATTATCTTGGGTTTTCAAGTTGAAGGTTTAGTTTTCTGTGTTTCGAGTTTGAGTTTAACGGGTGGTGGGCTTTGTGCTGGCATTTAGGCTTTGAAAAGGGCTCCAATACTACATTGGAGCACACTGGTATATTCTAGTAGAGTATACTCTATATGTATATACATATGTATGTTTTGTGCGCACCCTTATGGGTTTAGAGTTTGGGTGTTATAGAAACTAACTTCCGAGAAGTTGCAGCTCTTTTCTTTCCGGCCACTGTTGTTCGAAGAAATGCCTCGCCTCCCAAGGCACCTTGATTCCCAAGAATGGCTGCCCCAAACCCTCACCCACAAACCCTAAACCCTAAACCCGAATTGTTTTGGACACCAGGTTGCGCAAGATCTTTGTGTAGGATCCTATGACGTTTCTGCTGTCACAAAGCCCACAAGCTGCAGAACCCGGAGTCCAAAACGCCACGTGCATGGTTCAGGGTGTTGGGGTGTAGAGTTTAGGGCTAAGGGTTATAGGGGTTCAGGGATTCCCTTAACCACCGGGTGCTTTGTAGGGGTGGCATGAGGATCAGCCACCATTGGGAACTCCTCTGCCATGAATACCAAGACCTGGGTTCAGGGTTGAGGGACTACTGGTTTGCAACTCCCCCTGACGAAAATTTTAATTCCGTGAGCCACTACAGACCACCAACTCTTCCATCTTCAGCCCCCACGTAGGACATCGTCCCTGCCCAGAGCGCCTACGAATGTCAAGAAGGTCACATGCAATAACTTACTCGTTCTTAGTAGGGAATAAGGGAATATAATCCCTGTAGAATCCCTGTGTGACATGTTCCCTTGTTCCCTTCTAAGAGCCAGTAAGATAATGTCCAGTCGCTTGTACTTTCCGTATTAATACATTCTAGGATGCTCTCCAGGAGACAGGGTGCATAACAAGACACAAGGCCACCATGAAGAAGATAGCATCCTCAACCAAAAGCCCAGACCCTGAACCCGAACCGCCAAGCCCCCGCCCGCCCCCACCAAAAAAACAACAACAACATAAAAGCGCCTCACACCCGAAACCCTGAGTCATCCCAAAACTACATCTCAACCCTTTCAAAGGCCACCATGGAGAACACCTCCGCCATCCTGGGTGACTTCATCGGCGGTGTCACGCTGACAGGCAGTCTCATCGCTTTCGGAAAGCTGAACGGAAACCTCAGCCTCCAGCCTCTGACTTTAAAGTTTAGATTTAGGCTGTCGAAATTCTGGTCTTGGGTCCATGGCATCATGCAGCCCTTGAAGTCTAGGTACCCAAAATGGGCCACATTTTTAAAAAATGTGTTTACTTGTGTTGCCAGGTACGGGCTTCTCTGAGGTGTTCAAGTAGGGTTTAGTGTGGACCCTACCGAGCCCTTCCGTAATTGTAGGGACATGTCCCACAACCCCAAGAACGGTGGGTTCCGTAGGGCCCAGGTAGGCTTTGAGGCTAAATTTGGGATTACGGTTTAGGCTTGAATAAATCCGGGGCCGCCAAAAAGTCTCAACCCAAACCTTGCGCCCTAAAACCTGCAAACGGTACAGCCGGGGCACATGTATCTCCAGTAGATTCCAGACATTTTCCTCAACAGCAACAAGGTGCTTAGTCAAACAGCGAGCAAACACTCTAGCACTTTTACACACAGCTCCCTGTCCTCGCAACATATGAGCTATAGTCTAAACTCCTAGTATCCCACTTTATAATTTAGAACCCCTATACTACTCACCTCTATATTTGCCAAGATAACTCCCCTTCAAGGAGTTTGGACTTTAGCTCATACGCCCCCAAACCCTAAATCCCTAAACCCTAAATCCCTAAACCCTAAATCCCTAAACCCTAAATCCCTAAATCCCTAAACCCTAAACCCTAAACCCGACCGAGGCTCCAAGGAGCTGTCCCTACCGGGCAAGAACTACTTGAACCTTTGCGGCCTCTTCCTCTTCATCTTCTCGATGTACGAGTTCCTCCAGTCAGGCGGCACTAGGTTTAGGGGTTCAGGGTTTAGGGGTTCAGGGTTTAGGGGTTTAGGGTTTAGGGGTTTAGGGCTTAGGGCTTCAAACCCTTAAACCCTAATTAAACCCCTAAACCCTAGGGTCTGTAGACTAAGGATCACAATGTTTTGGGTTCCCCCCCATCTTGGGAAACCACCATAATTTGATAATAGCTGCTACTACGCTACGACCGCTACTAAATCAATTTTCTGCAGAAAGAAGTCACGCATCAGAAGCCCTAAGCCCTCAACCCTAAACCCTAAGCCCTAAACCCTAAACCCAAAGCTCTAAACCTTAAACCCTAATCTGCAGGAGGAAGCCACGGCGTTCTGATCCTTTGGGCAGTTGCCGCATTGGCCTGCCTCATGGGACTGCACCTGGTGGCCAGCGTGGGCGGCGGCGACATGCGCTTTCGTCCGAGCTTAGGGTTTAGGGTTTAGGTTTCAGGGTTTAGGGTTTAGGTTTTAGGGCTTAGGATTTAGGGTTTAGGTTTCAGGGTGAGGGATTTAGGTTTCAGGGCGTAGGCTTTAGTTTTTTTTTTCAGGGTTTAGGGTTTAGGCTTTGGGGGGATGTGGAAGGGTATGATATAGGGTCCCTTTAACACGGGGTTCTTGGGAGGTCTAGGGGGATGTAGGGGCATAGAGGGTTCCTTTGCAGAGGGTTTTCATAGGGAGGATATAGGGGAAATAGGATCTCATGTACGGGGCTATAGGGAGGGTACGGTATATAGGGCTCAATATAGGGCCGCCCAAAGCGTCTGTGGGCTTCATACAGGGGCCAGGTAGGAAAATGCTCAAGTTATAGCCAGCTACAATCCCGTAGTGCCTTATGATAATTCAATAATTGCAGGTTTAGGGTTTGGAGATTTTACTTATAATAGCAGTCTTGCTTCATAGATATCATCAGTGCTTCGTACTAAACTTACCTGGTACAGGGGTCATGTGAGGTACCCTATGGAGTCCAGACTTAGGGACTTCAAAGTTAAGGGTTTAAGGTTTATCCACTGTCAGTGTTACTGTTGCCACGGGGACATAAGCTGTCGACATAGCATTGCTTCTGGTAGTTGAATTCAAGCCTCAGCATCTTCCCCCATGTGCATGAACTACATGAGTAATATGCCGTGCGGAGATTCTGGGGGATGCGAAACTCTAAACCCTATACTCTAAACCTTGGGTACTGCCCCCCCTCAGTAGCAGTTGGATAATAAGTATAATATGGTTATATATAGCCCGTAATAGGACCCCGAATATAGACTGTTACTGGGTGGGGGCAGTACCCAATCTAAACCCTTTACGTACTCTTTCTTCACATGAGGGTGTCATCCTGTGGTTCACTATAGGGTTCCATGCTACCCGGCTGAGTCGGGTCAAAGGCATCCTCAGCACAACTGCTTTGAAGGTTTAGGGTTTAGGGTGTAGGGTTCACTATTGCTTCGCAATCTGGTAGCTGCATTGAGGCTTTCGATGTTGTTTGCACCTTGTGCAATTGTTTCGCACTGTTCCTATACTTCCTGTTGTGTTGTTAAACAGTGCACTCAGCGTGTCTGCTGCCATCACATGATTCAGCACCTGGTGCTTAGGCCGCCAGGTGTTCAGGATTTTTGGGGCTCAACGTTTACGAGCAGGGCTTTCAGGCATACTTCTGATGTTGTCAGATAGGTTTGGGGCTTTAATGCTTCATGACGTATGTTGAAGATGATTCTCCTGAAGCTGCTACAGGTTGCAAAGTGTTCAGCGCACATTCCAGTCAAAAAGCCACACCCGAGCCCAATCCCAACTCGAATTCCTAGGACCCGCGCCTTGCCCAAGCCTCTTCCCTATACCCGAAGCCCTGTCCAATCATTTAGGGACCCTAAACCCTAAACCATAGGGCCATAGGGTTTAGGGTTTAGGATTCCAATTTTTTGACATGTACTTCTTGTAAGGCCACGCATCCGTCTGCGAACCTGTACATTCCGCCGTGGGCCCTTCATCATCCCCGCGAAGCCAATGACCCTTAACCCTATAGGCGAACACTGAGGCCGGTGTGCATCACGGTCTTGAACTCCTACTCAGGGTGGGCTCTTGTCGCCGAGGCTCGCGTTTTCGCTTTCTAGTCCTGCAGACCTGGTATTCCTAGCACTTGGAAAGGGTGTTTCCCAAACAGCGTATTTCATCCTTGGGGGGAACACCTATTTTGCCAGTGTAAGCACTACGAATCCCTGGCGTCCCCAGAGTACTGCTATTGTGACGAACCCATGAGGGTCAAGTGTTCGGTCAAGGTGCCTAGGATTCCGGCTTGAAGAGTCAGGTGGGGTTATATAGGGGTTGTATATGGGTTATATAGGGGCTATATAAGGATAATGGAAAAGAAAATGGAAACTACTATTTATGGTTTAGAGCTTAGGGTCAGGGGGACTTAGGAAGTCGGTGAATCATGGGGATAGTTAGGGTTACTATATGGGTTGTAGCAGCTACTAACCTACTTACTAAGTCCCCCTAAACCCCTAAACCCCTAAATCTCTAAATCCCTAAACCCCTAAATCCCCAAACCCCCCCAAACCCTCAAAAACCCTAAAACCCCTCAAGCCTCTAAATCCCCTGGCAAGCCTGCAGGGCTTTTTGCTCGACAGCAACGTGCTTACCATCGTGGGCTCGTTGATCGGCTTCTCCGGAGCCGTGCTGAGGGTTTAGGGTTTAGGGGGTTTAGGGTTTAGGGGGTTTGGGGTTTAGGGTTTAGGGTTTAGGGTTTAGGGGGTTTAGGGTTTAGGGCTTAGGGTTTGGGAGTTTCCCAAAATTAGGGGTACCATTTTAGGGGTTCCCATAATAGGGATTATAGTATTTGGAGGTCTTTATTAGGGTCCCCCCGATTTTGGGAAAGTACCATTTG